TTCAGCATGCTGGTGTTCTGCAGTGTGTGGGTCACCTTCCTCCCCGTGTACCACAGCACCAAGGGGAAGGTCATGGTGGCCATGGAGGTCTTCTCCATCTTGGCCTCCGGTGCGGGGCTGCTGGGCTGCATCTTTGCCCCCAAGTGCTACATTATTTTGTTAAAACCTGAGAAAAACTCTCTTACTGGGATCAGGGACAAAACACATTCTGTCAGAAAGGAGCCTTCTTATCATTAAACATCCATTTTCTATTATACACAGAGGACCTGAATTCAAAGCTGTACCATATGTGAAGTCAGATGCTATCGTCTACTACAGGACTTTTATCCTTACTAAGTGATGCAACTTCTTTTTCTAATAGTGTAATGTTTACTAGAAACTGTAGTCCTCATACCTTTAGGTTGATTTTATTCTGGATATTTTGATGCCTATTAAGTCAGATTTCATCCTTTTGTTTCTATGCTTGTACTGTCCACTTTTGTCTTCCTTTTGGCTTTCCCAGTATTTTTGTCATTTAAAAAAGACAATAAATTCCTTCCTGTATGTCACTATGTTTCTGAATTCTTTAATATGTTTTATTACTTTTGTCTTTTGAAGGAGGAGCCTGCGTTCACTGTGCTAATTATAGTCTGGTTTGATAGTTATGTGTATATTTGTCTTCTTGCATTTTCCTTTTGCAGTTAGTTAAATTACTTTTACATATTCTGTCTCACATGACTTTTAGGATTCTAGAATTGGTTGGTCATATGCAGGTGTATACACCATTGATTATATGACGGCAATATACTGAACTGATGGAGTACTCCGTGGAAGAACTTATCGATATGCACTAGAACATCTTTCCATCTCAGATTTATGTTTGCTTTTATCATTACTAAGCAGCATCTATTGACAGCTATATACATGTATGATGTACAAGTGCATTATTATATGCAGTTTTACTTTATATACTTTATTCAAAAAATGTTCTTCTCACGTTTATACACAGGTATTGAAAGTGTTTTCAGAGAATGTGATAGGAAATGTTTTACCTGCCATATGTTCTTTTTTGTTTATGAACATATGGATTCCGGTTAATGCAGCATGGAGGTACACCCATGTGATCCCAGCACTCTGAACAGGGAGGCCAAAGATTGGAAGGTTGATCTCAACCTGGGGTACTTAGAGACTTAACAATCTTCTGCCTGAAATCAATATTAAATAATGTAGTGCTCTGTGTGTGCATATCCAGTTTTGGCTTCTGAGTTATTATTTTCTGTTTAAATGTTTAAATTTCAGAATTCCACTAATAGGGCTTGGGATATAGCTCAGCAACACAAGCGCCTGCTTGGCAAGTGCAGGGTCCTGAGTTTGATTCCTGTTACCCCCCAGAATAAAAAGATAAACCAAAAAGAATTCCACTAATACCATTAAATACTTATTTCTGATTAAAAGATCAATTGCTCACAGGGTGTAGGTCTTTGACAATGTTGAGAGTATATTTGTGTAAAATATTTGGTATCTCTTTTAAATGAATGTGGGATTATTTCCCCTTTGTATTGATTTCTGAGTCTGCATATGTGATAGAGGTTTTTATGGGAAGGACTAAAAGAGTGGTTATAAGGATGGGTGGGTGGAAGCATGGACAGGTGGGTGGAGAGTGTATTAAAGGAAAAAAGGGTCAGTAGAGTTCACCAATCCATTAATGCAACAAAAAAGTGAAGGAGAATGAGGGAGGAAACACACAAACAAAATGGAGACTTGGAGAGTTTTACTCTTTTCTTGCTTTCTTCAGATGACTCTAATATATTACATCAAAATCTCAATACATTTGAACTCCGAAATGTAAGAATTTGTCACTATCACCATCTGAAACAAACTTATGGAAATAGAACTGCCCGCCTTCTACTCCCCTCAAATCTGCACGCCCCAGCTCCTGGTATGAGTGACTCACCTGCTGACACAAATTCTTAGTCACCTGGGTTTTTAGCTTCCTTTCCTGTGTCTCCATTTCTGTATTTCCACATGTTAGGGCTTCTTCTCTATCTGCAATCTTCAGTCCATCCCAAATTCCTCCCACAAACCACATCCCAATGCTCTGAAACCATATGGTCAGGTGCAGTGACAGCAATGACTCCAGCTCTCTGCTTCCAAATCTCTTTCAGTCTCTTCCTCATTGCTGAGACAAAATACGGAATACCTGAGATTTAAAGGAAGAGAGGTTTATTCTGTCTCATGGTTTTAGTTGCAGGTCGGCAGGCTCTGAGGCAGAAAGGCAGCATGGAAGCACATGTCAGAAGAAAGCTGTTCAGCCACGGCAGTGAGGAAGCAAAGAGAGAAGGGGGAGTCAGGGACAGGGACACAGACTCTCAGGTTAAGTCCCCAGGACCCCACCTGCAGCCAGGCCCCACCTGCTGACAGCACATTTAGGTACAAACCTTATCTGGGGTGAATCACATGATGAACACAGGGCCCCATGATATAATGACCTTCCATACACAAGACTCTGAGGTAGAAATAACAGAGATTGGGGGAAAATGGGGTGCAAAGAAAGTAGAATTTGTATAGCAATTACTGGGTGCTGGAATCCTGCTGGGCCCTCTGTGCTGTAGTCTGCTGCGGCCCCCAGTGCAGGACATCATTGTCCAGTTTTACACATTCGAAATGGAATATTTGAGGAGAAGTGTTTCTCATACAAACCCACCAGGACTGGATTCAGGTTCCAGCCTGGGCCGCTCCTCTCCCAGCCGCACCTGCACTCTCTTCATGGCCTCAAACTGCTTCTCAAGCCCCAGGACTGGCAAGGAATTCCTGGGACTTCAGGTCCTGACTTTTGTCAGAACTGTTTCTGTCAAGAGGAGGCACTCAACTGCTACCAGTTACAACTTACCAAATGGTTTAATTTTAATCCTCTTCATTACAGAGTCTCTGCCCTCCGGGCACTGGCAGGAGAGAGGAGGTCCTTACTCAGAAGCCCCAGGGACTTCTCTGGATGGGGGGCTGGTTTAGCCCCGCCCTGCCCACCCCTGTGCTGAGTCTGTGAGTGCTCCGGGAGCTTCTGGTCCTGTGGTTTGAGTCCGTGCTAAACTTTTGCACGGACTCCCTAGTGGGTTGAAGGCATGGGCAGTCTGTGCTCGCTACACTTCTGGCCTGCATCTGGTTCCTGTATATGTCCTGAACTGACTGGAGACACAGAATCAGGTGGCTCACAATACTGTCAACACTGCAGTTGTGTCTGGGTTATGCCTGTACCATGAACTGCCTGGGGACATAGGTCCACTGGACCGTGGTGTCACACAAGTGCAACTTGAGTCTGGGCGGTGCAGATGCCCTGAACTGCCAGGGGACGCTCGATCAGATGGTTGGACATCAGCTCACACCAAAGTCCGTGTCTGAGACTAGGCATAACTAGATACAAATCAACAACTGCCAGAAATCTGAGACTAAGTAGCACTTCTCAGAGGTCACTCAGGGGCAAACCTCACCAACAGGAAAACTAGGGACACCAGTGGCCTTTGCTGTGCAGCTACTGAAGAAGGAAACAGCTTTCTGCATCTGATAGCAAACATGACAAAACAAAGGACTAAAACACAATCCCAGAACTCCACCTCATTCAGGACAAGTTCAGAAAATATTGACATACGAGAACTTGGTAAACACATGCGTGATTTAGCTGAAATGATTGCAATGGAAGTAAAGTAACAACTCCATAAGGTCATAGATGAGATGAGATCAGAAATAATCTCTCAGGCAAGAAATGAAATGACAATAATAATGGAGGAACTGTTCAAAAAGTCTCAAGAAGGAACTTATAAGAAAATAGGACAAAGGCAATGGACAGAAACGTTCAATGAAAAATATAGAAATGCCTTAGAAGGCACGAACCAGATTCAAAGAGACTTCCAGGAAAACAAAGCTGCCACTGAAAGCTATCAAAATCGCTTGAATGAAGCTGAATATAGAATCCCAGACTTTGAAGACAGCATGGCAGCAAGTGACCATGAAAGGAAGGATCTTGTAAAATCAACAAGGATCCAGGAAAAGTCAATACAACAGGTACAAGACGAGGTAAAGAGCAATAATGTACAACTTCTATGATTCAAAGAAACAGCATGAGGCAACACAACTGACATAAAAAGAATATTTGCAGAAGTAATAGCAGAAAATTCCCCAAGCATGGAAACAGAACATGATATACAGAGAAATGAGGCATATAGAACTCCAAATATCCACAACCAAAATAAAACTACACCCAGACATGGAATAGTCATGTTCCCAGGTCTCCAGTAAAAGATCAGAATATTAAAAGCTGCTACAGAAAAGAAACAGATTGCCTATATAGGAAAGCCCATGAGAATCATGGCAGACTTCTCAGCACAAACCATGCAATTGAGAAGAGCTTGGAGTGAAGTATTACATGTCCTAAAACAGAACAGCTTCCAACCAAGACTGATGTACCCTGCCAAACTATCTCTCAAATTCAACAGGAAATAAAATATATTCATGACAAAGAACAAGGGAAGAACTTCATGAGGGCCCAACCAGCATTACAAAGAGTACTAAAAAATATTCTAGACAGAGAAAAATCTGACCACAATTTGAAGAACAACAGTTAAAATGAAAAGTCATGAAGTGCACGCCAGTAAACAGGTACAAAAAGTAGGACACCAATACAAGTAAATAA